AAATACTCTCCGTTGAAATGAGATGTGCCAATGCTAAGCCATCTGCATATATCATTGACCGAACCACTATCGATTCCCCATAAACTGACCTGAACTAAGCAAATGTTTCAAAGTCAATAGACCATGACTGAGGAGGCGGTGCAAAATAATCTTCATGGAAATGAATTGTGACAATGCTCATACAACTGCATACTAAATATCATTGACCAAACATTTGTGGTTCCCCATAAAACACCCCTTATCACAAACTAATATATGAAGACTAGGCAAAAGTTTCAAAGTCAATAGACCATGACTGAGAGTGGGTGGGTCAAATGATCCCCAAGAAAATGAGTTACGCAAATGCTAATACAACTGCGTACCAAAGATCATTGACCTACCACTAGTGGTCCCATAAACTGACAGTCACCTAATAACAAACTAATACAGTTTTGACGCCGCCGGAAACAGCACATCCAAGTCTTGTTTTTTTTTAACTTTGTCGTAGCGAGACAAAAATTGACATTTCAGGGGCAATACCTTCAAAATGGTTTGTCCGATTTTTCCGAGAATTACAAAGGTAGTGAAATCCTGACCTGCTGATCATCTTAGTTCATATCATATATGCTCTTAATTACTGCATAGGTGGCCCGTTGCAAGACAAATTTGTTGCCTCTATACCATCATTTTCAATTTTGTCGGTTCACTCTGCAGAACCTAACTTTTGTATTTATTGTTAATTTGTTCTCGTCCTGAATATTTACGAATTATTTGCAATTAAGTGTTTCTCGTTTCTCGTTTTTTATATAGATTAGATCGTTGGTTTTTTCTGTTTGAATTGATTTACACTAGTCATTTTGGGGCCCTTTATAGCTTGCTGTTCGGTGTGAGCCAAGGCTCCGTGTTGAAGGCCGTGCTTTGACCTATAATTGTTTACTCGTTACACATTGTGACTTGGATGGCGAGTTGTCTCATTGGCACTTATACCACATCTTCTTATTTATATATACTTGTTTTATAAAAAATTTTGGTCGAAAATTTAGTCACAAAAAAAAAAAATAATCGGAAATATCTACAACTTCATGTTTGTCATGTCAGTGGGTTGTTGTCTGCTTGATGTATAATGCATACGTAGGAACCCCAAAAACGAACACAAACAGATTGGGTGAATTGAACAACAATGTCTAAACAAGAAATTGTCTTTTCAAGTATATAAAAACAGGAAGTTGCTGACTGACAGATCCTAAAAGCGCCCACACGTTACAACTCGTCACTTTCAATCTGCTGACCATATATGAAGTCATTTTGTTCAATAGTACTGGAGAAAGGTGTGATAAAAATATTAAGAAATCATTACACATATTGCAAAATCGAAATGTCGGAAAACATGAAGTTAATGTCTGACAAGAGTGCACAACTGATAGTACAATGTAGCTACCAAAAAGTGGGAGCTATCGATTCTGAATAGATTTAAGAATGTTCAATTTAATTAAAGTCACAGATGCGTATCCCTTTCTACTAAAAACAGACTGAACTGTAAATGAAATAAAAAAAAAAGAATTATGTTTCAACAAGGATTTGTATAGTAAGACTAGGGGGGGGGGGGGAAGGGGGGGGGGTTGATCTCGATCAGATGCTCCGGAAGGGTAAGCAGGTCTTGCTCCACATGTGACACCCATTGTATTGCTCATGTAATTACAAACACGATGATAAATAGAATTCAGCAGGTCACATTCTAGGAAAAGAGGACGGTATTGAGGTTCGATTGAAGCTAAGATCATCTCTTTTGTCGTAAAGATTTGTTCTCAACCAGTCCTCATTGTCAATTTCTAGGTGTAAGTGGGGCCTCGGTGACCGAGTGGTCTAAGTAGTCGAACTACTGTATCACTAGCCAGTCAACACTGAGGTTGTGAGTTCGAATCCCGCACAGGGCAGGTGCACTCGACTCCAATCTTAATTGACTAGGATTGTCAGTTTTCCTACCGAAGGTCGGTGGTTCTATCCGGGCACTCCGGCTTCCTCCACCAATAAAAACTGACTGCCACGAAATAGCACAATAGTGTAGGAAGTGGCGTTAAACAACAATCAATCAATCAATCTAGGTGTAAGTCAAGATATGAGGCTGACATAACTGTATTTGTTGTATCCTTAAATTCAAGTTCAATGGGATACATGCGTTCAACATACTAGTAGTCACCAAACTTTTATTCCGTGAATTATCATCTATAAAGCGGAACATGAAGTTATAGGATAATTTATCATCTTGACATTCTTTCTTAGGAGCTCCTGTATGAAGTCTGCCTCATATGAATACAGGAACAAGTCGGCAAGAAGAGGTGCACAGTTGGTTCCCATGGGAATGCTGATTGTTGAAAAAGACGTCCCAGGATGTAACAAAAATATGTTGTTAATCATGAAATCAAGCATCTTGATGTCAGTGGTAGTTAAACAATATGAAATGTACTACTTTTGCTGCATTCATTGGGTAACTTTGTAAAGTTTCAAACTTCAAAGTTAATTTATTCTGAAACATGATAATATCAAATTATTGTTTTTTAGCATTTTATAAATACTGTAAATAGTCAGCTTCAAACATTTATAGCAAAACATGAGATTACTGTTCCAAATATAGCTTGCAATTAAAATGTTATCTGGTTGCTAATAATTAAAAATAACATTAGCTTTAAATTCCTACTTGGATTGATAGTGTTTCTGCAATAGCCAATGCTTTTTATGAATAAGAATTTTGATTTGCCTTACATAGCATATGTTAATATTAATTTGTTGTTTAAAGTAGATTTTGTTTCTTAATGAAATGTTTAAAAACATATTCTTTACTTGAGTCAATTCTCAAATATTGGTTGTTTGCTAAATGTCCAGGGGCAAATATTTCGTGCATATTCAGGAAAATCAAATATTTGAACCAAAAATTTTGCCCTTATATTTGTTATTGTTTAATTGATACTAGTTTTAGGTATGTTGTTTTTCTTACATCAGATATTTATACTTCATTTTTAATCTGTCAAGCAGGTGGCTCATTACCCTGATGATGCATCAGGTCTTGCACCTTTTGGAGTTCATAGGATACCCTCAGTTTATCCTATTTGTAACGTCTTTTACTGTGACTTGATTACAAGTGTTTCACTCCACCTATTACAGTAAATTCACAATTCTGAACCAATTGCAATATGTTTTATCCTATCAAACTGTTCAACTGGTCAGAAATTTTAACCAACTACAAAGTCAAGTCATCAAAGTGCAAAGTGATAAAATAAAGCATACATACAGTACTATAATACTTGAATTCCACTTCAAAAATCATTTTCAAAATTTTGCTTCGGATATTATCTCTTAATTATAAAAAAGCTTCTATCAAAGTTTCATGTAATTCTATAAAGGTTTGTCAAGTTTATTTATGTTTAAAATCTTTAAACCCATACTGTATCCAAATGTTTACTACCAAAAAACCAACCAAAGTCCATTTATTAGGAAACACGTATGGCACAGCTTAACAAAAAGTAGGCATAGTTAATATTACAGATTCAAAGACTATCATTCCTTTTTTCCATTCATGCTTATGTTCAATTTTCCTAACACAAGTGTTTGTTGATAATTATCTGAAAAAAATCTTAAAAAAAAAAATCATCATTAGAAATTCAAAAATTTAGTCCCCATGACCCAGTGGTTAAGTGTTCAACAAGATGATTTTAAAAAATCAAACAAGATGTATTATGGTGATGTAAATGCCCTCGTGAATATTCAACATAGGACATTCTCCAACATTGTAGACGAGAATAGAATTCATGACAAAAATCTCTGTTTTGTTGATCTTGTATTGCTGATCTTTTAGTCTGTTTAGTTTCTATCTGCTTTAGTTTTTGCTCAAAAACACAGAAGAGGGTAAAAAAAATCCTCTTTTAAGGGCAATCACTCCTATAAAGAGTGACAGTCTACTTACTATATCGGCAAAATTTGACTTGTTAGTAGATCTTGCCTTGCTGATCATTTTTGTGATTTAAAGATTCTATTTATCTATTATAATTTTATCATATAAGGCAAAACACAAAAAAAAAAGGGTAAAAATCGTCATTAAAGGGCAATAACTCCAATAAGGAGTCTTCGGATGATTTCCTTTATATTGTCTTAATTGTAGATCTTGTCTTGCTATTCATTTTTGTTTATTAAAGTTTCTATCTATCTATTATAATTTTTAAGATTTAAGGCAAAAACGCAAAACATTGGTAAAAAATCATCATCAAAGGGCAATAACTCTAAAAAGGAGTTGACTGACAATTTCAACCATGTCGACTTATTTGTAGAACTTGGCTTACTGATCATTTTTGCAATTGTATACGAAAAATTGGGTAGAGCTCAACATTCTGAACAGTTGTGCTTCCCGTCAGATTTTCTCTTTTTATAACGGTTTTCATAATAGACAAAACTTACATTTTACCTCTATGTTCTATTTTTAGCCATGTCAGCCATCTTGGTTGGCAGACAGGGTCATCAGACATATTTTTTAAACTTTACAACCCCAATGATGATTGTGGCCTAGTTTGGTTAAATTTGGCCCAGTAGTTTCAGGAGAAGATTTTTGTAAAAATTAACAGACGATGACGGACATTAGACGCCAAGTGATGAGAAAAGCTCACCTTTGGGCCAGGTGAGCTAAAAATCAACTCATATATCTACAACAGTAATGAAAAAGGTCAGGCCAACTACAATTTTTTTAAGACCAAGGGCCATAATTCTGTTAAGTGAGGTCATGGGAAATGAAAGTATACTAATGAAACAAAAATCAGCTCAATATGTACTGGCAATAAAAACATATTGACAATTGTAGGATTTGTGAAGGACAGAATGATGGATATGGGTAACATTATATGTCTTATCATTAGCCACTGCGCCACAGGGGCATAAACTTTTTTTAGGGCAGATGGTGGAAGAGAAAAGAAATGTCAAAAACTTTTTTCGGACAGGTGACCTTTTAAATGACACATTTGACAGATTTAACTAAAACATTTTTAGTTTTAAATCTTTAATTGAATGATGGCACTTGTGTTGTAAACATAAATATATATAAGATTAATCAAAACTGATAACATACAAAAAAACATAATTGACAAACTATCAAAACAATGAATTAACATGTATTCTCTAATTTTCATGCTTTTTTCACATTTCTCGATCGGTGTGAGAAAAATATTTCTCCTCTCTAGAGAAAACATTGTTCTCGGCAAATGATTAGTCGAAATTCAATTGTCATGTCAATTTTTCTTGGTTTCTTCTGAATTTCCTATTGTGACGTCATGAAAAATGGTGACCATGCCTGATGACGTCACATATAAAGAACACAACTTTCTGCAAATCTTTGAAAAGGAAGCATAAGATTTCGTCTAAAAATCATTAGAGAAACAGAGTCCACTACTATAACTCCTGTGTTACAATATTTCTCCACACTTAAGGTGGTACCAAACACCTTGACAAAAATTAATTTGGCTCGTTTAATTTTCATAAAATTTTGACAAAATATTTACTTTGACCCTTTGACAAAAATATAATAATTTCAAAAAACTTGAACCACACACTTTATCGGAAAAATTTCATTGGAAATATAGCAGTTTGACAAACACTAATTTTGATCATTGAGAAGCTTAATATTTCATTAACAATAGAACGTGATTAAAACGTTCAGCTGATTTTTACAGAGTTATCTCCCTGTAGTGTTATGTACCACCTTAACAATTAAGTTTTGATTATTTAAAAAGCTCGGCAAGCCTTGAGCTTTTAATATTTAAATTTAAATGTCTCGAGTGGAGAAATATCGTAACACACTTGATGCAGTGGTGGAATCTATATTTACTGATTACAGCACATACATATTTCATAATACAGCATCCTACACCTTTCTAGAATATAAAAATAATATAAATAAGTTTTATATATGAAAAGAAACTGGCATTTCATTGTTTCAGTCATCAACGCTACCAAATGAAAATTTCCATATACAAATGTAATATTGATAATTATTTCAACTAGAAAGGATTAATTTGATGAATAAATTAAGAAAAAAATCAACATTATATACATATCATGATAAGACCAAATAAAAAAAATGTAGCTTCTTAGACCCTTCTGTCAAAGCCTGCTTCATGGACCATTTTTAGTTAGATATTCTGATATAATTCTTAGTGAAAAAAAAAATACTTCCCTGCCTCTTCTGAAATAGTGACAACTGGCCTGTGAAGCCAACAGGTTGTTCTGAGTGGCATAAGAGGCTAAAAGTTTATTCTTTAATGCCCAAGAAGCTAATGGTTTATTTTGTGGTCTATTTTGTGTTGCCAAAGAAGCTAATGGTTTATTTTGTGTGGCCTAAGAAGCTAATGGTTTACTTTGTGGTCTATTTTGTGTTGCCAAAGAAACTAATGGTTTATTTTGTGTGGCCTAAGAAGCTAATGGTTAATTTTGTGTGGCCTAAGAAGCTTATCATTTATTTTGTGTAGCATAAGAATCTTAAGGTTTATTTTGTGTTGTCTAAGAAGCAATAGGCTTATTTTGTGTGGTCTAAGAAGCAATAGGCTTATTTTGTGTGGCCTTAGAAGCTAAAGGCTTGTTTTGTTGAGCTAAAACATACAAATCAATAAATGTATGATCAATTGCATACTGGTAGTATTATAAAAATCTTGAAATGTTTCAAATTTGGTCAAAAACACTTCATTAATCACTGAAACTAATGAATTTCAAAATTTATATCCAACATTATTTGTAATCTTGATCTCCATATATTTTTTTAATTGTTGTTGGGTTTCTGTCTATATTATAATGATAAATCATCATTCTTTCTATTCATCCTAATTCATTACATATTTTCACCATTATTAAGAATAAAATGTAACCCTTGAAGTGGGTATTTTAGCATGATGTCAAACATGCCGGTAGCACTTCTGAAAAAAAATTCTCATATACATGATTAATAGGAATTAAAACAGATTCATGAAAAAAATACAACAATAGTTTTAACACAACACATTTGACATTATGTCATTTTTCTACTTTTTTTCCCTGTAATGTGTAAATTGTAGCACTTTCCATTGTGAATCACGAAGTTAGTTATGCCCATTTCCACATAGAGTTCAACAATAATTCATGTTAAATGTGCACTGTATTTCCTTCACCCATTTGAGAAATTGTCGAGTACTTTTATAGAACCCAAGTGAGTAAGCTTATTTATCCAACAATAAATCCAAAGAGTAATATTTTAGAAGGTGATTGTAATAGTATGATTGTATTTCATGCTTGACTTCATATTAAGAGATACTATCCAAAACACATATATTCTTCTTACCAAGTCTTATCTGCCTGGTCTGGACACAACTGTCCAATACAGCTGTTGAAAATATGTTTTTAATCTTTATATCTTTGAATAAATCCCTCTCTTGATAACAAATCTGCCAGTCATTCCATTTTATCCAATACCTAACTTCTATTACAATTTCAATCTTAGATTTTCTTTATACAACCCACATCTATGCCCCTCTGATAAATGAGTTTAAAGTACCACCCAGCAACAAGAAAGGGATAAAAAAAACTTGCTGGTAGGTTGATAACTATAAATTCATGACACATCAATAAGTAGATATCAACATTAAAACTGCTGCAGTTAAATCCAAATATGTTTTGCTTTACAAACTGTTAGCTTTATAGGTGTCAGAAGTGTAGATATAACTGTAAATCACTGTATCAGACACTAAAAAGCTTTCTTTTTAAATCAACAGATTTATATAAAAGGTACTTTTAACACTTGATTGATCTCAGCATGTAATATAAAAATAAAAAAATAAGTATTTTACATTTTTGCATACAGGTACTTCTATTTTTCATCATGATTTTTAATATTTCATAATTGAAGTAATGTCATGTCAATCATTTTCTCAGTTTTTTTTCTATTTTTATGAAAGACCAACTATCTCCTCTGTTTCTGGATCAAGATCAATATCGTAGAAACATGGTCTTGTGGGTAATCCTGGCATAGTAGTCATCTGGAAAGTAAAATACAATATTGCATTTAAAGCAAAATCACAACATCAGGAACTAAAGGCTACAATAAACTTGTGTTGCTCAACAGACAGCAAATTTACCTATTTCTTATGCCTATATGAATTCATAAAACAATACAAACCTGAAATTGCACAATAAAAGAATCAATTCACTTACTTTTTATTCAAATAAACCTATAAACCTTTTGTGCTAGGAGAACTAATCAAACTCAACTAGATATAAGAAGATGTGGTATGAGTGCCAATGAGACAACTCTCCATCCAAGTCACAATTTGTAAAAGTAAAACCATTTTATGTAAAAAGAACGGCCTTCAACACAGAGCCTAGGCTCACACCGAACAGCAAGCTATAAAGGGCCCCAAAAATAACTAGTGTAAAACCATTCAAACAGGAAAACCAACGGTCTAATCTATATAAAAAACGAGAAGCGAGAAACATTTATGAACCACATCAACAAACGACAACTACTGAACATCAGGTTCCTACACATTCAAATGAAACAATATTCAAGCAACCCAAAATATACAAAGATAGTATGACAAGAGACGTAAAACTTCTTATCTATACACAAAGAAACTGAAATCTTATCATCTATTCACTGGTCTCAGTCTATGTTACGGCAATTAACAAATGAACAATTCAAATTGTTAAATATTGGAAAATTTAACGAGTTGAACTGTGAGCTGCTGCTCACTTATGATAACTCCCCTATAAGTATTTGGTTAACTGACAGTTAAAAAGCATCACACAGTATAACATGATTACATGAATGTTGATACCAAATTTCATGACGCTCTGATTTGTACTTCCTGAGCCAAATGTGATGAAAATTTCATAAATTGTCATTATGTATAAGAATATATAAGAATTGGGTAATCAGGTAGTTCATAAGCAAGGAATGTGAAAATGTATCATACAGTATAGCATGTTCACATGAAGCATGTTAAAAAAATTCAGGAGGCTCTCATAACAATCCTTAAATAGGTATAGTGTTTGAAGGTAAATCGTAGATTAATTTATTTTACACCTCAGATCAACGAACAGTAAATGGGCTATGTCACAGATTTTGGTAAAATTTTGCATACAACTTTGGCTCGTTGAACTGTATCTGAAAATCGAAAAAATAATGCATTTATCTCTTTTATTAACTGAAATATTACTGAATGAATTCTCTCAAAATAGGTGAACATTTGTATGGAAAGCACATAAAATCGGCGAAAACGTTCTTAAAATCATCAAATCTCCAATTTCAAATCCACAGATTTTTCTGTAAAAAAACTATATGTTGTTGATACTTAAATTTCCATTTGATGATACAAAATTATCATATGGTCCGGACTTGCTTTTTGGTGAATAACCAATCTGTTACCGAGTTATTATTTTACATCATATAAACAGAAATTTATCTATCAACAACATATAGTTTTTAACAAAAAATCTATGGATTTAAAGATTTAAAGACAAATTTCAGAATCTTTTTCGCCTATTTTTTATGCTTTCTATACAAATGTTCACATAGTTTGAAAGAATTCATTCATGCATTATTTTTTTAATTTTTAGTTATAATTTAACGAGCCAAAACTTGTATTCCAAATTATACCAAATTATGTGACATAGCCCATTTACTGTAACTTGACCTTAAATCTTATGTACTTTTGATAAAATATCAAGTTCCACTTCAGTGTCAAAGTCAGGTTAGACAAAAACTATAACTATATTCACTTTTTATTTATTAGCACTATAGAAATGTATCATTTTTCTATAATGCATTCAGTGACATATGCTCAACATATCAAGTGTTCTGAATAAAAAAAAAAAAATTGTTAACACATGAACAACTCACTGTTCCCAACAAAGGATAGATAAATCCTGCACCAATACTTGCTCGGACTTCTCTGATAGGCACAGTGAAACCTTTAGGTTCTCCTTTCTTTGTAGGATCATGTGACAGTGACAGGTGAGTCTTTGCCATACAAATAGGAAAGTCATTAAATCCCTGTAATATAGAATTTCATTCAGTTTAACCATTAATATTTATAATGCAAACATTTTGAAAGATTTTTCAAAAAAATGTCCAACAAATCATTTTGCCAGTGAATAGATAAATATAAAATACACATCCTGTGTGAATATCCCTGTGGGCAAGGGTTGTGAGTTAAACAGTCAATATTTTGCATAATTTGGTCATTTTACTTTTAAAAATTACTATCCTTCTTTGGCTGTATAATCCATAATAAAAGAGTTGCAATGTCCCCTGCGTTGCACATATTTTATTTTAAGGTACAAGGGCAATAACTAAAAAAAGCACTTTTTTTTTGTTCTTTAAAACTTTTAATAAATATCTTAGAGAAATGAAGGCTTCAGAGCAAATGCAATGTGATTTCCATTATAATTAATATTTCCAAGGAGCATAACTCGTTAAAAATATTTGATCAGGACTTATTTTTGAAAGTGTCTAGACATTGCTGATATAAACCTATGATATAAGTTTCATAAAATTCTGGCAAGAATTGTACAAATGAGAGAGCTACTGATGCAATTTTCCATATAATGAATGTTTCCAAGGGGCATTACTCTTTTAAAAATAAATGATCGGCACTGATTTTCGAACTTGTCCAAGACATTGCTGGTACAAACCTATGATATAAGTTTTATAAAAATCTGGCAAGAATTGTATTCGTGAGAGCACTAACAAAACTGGACGGATGGCCAGATGGACGGACACCCGGTGTTTTACTATGTCCCCAGCAACGTGTTGCGCAGGGGACAAAAAGAGGACACTTTACACCAAAACTGTTATGTTTTATCCAAGTACATGGATTCAACATTTGATTCAGCAAATCAGAGGCAGTTTGAAGTACATTAAGGCCCTAAAATATACCTTCTCCTTTATGGTGAACTCTTTAATCATAAAATAAATTCAGGAATAATGAGTTTGATAAAAACAAATGTTACTGTTTATATCTCCCATTATCCTGTTTTATGTATAAGCAGTAAGTAACCAATAAAGATTCAATTAAGATAATAGTACATAATCATCTTCACCAGTATAAAAGTAAATCAACATAATAGATAAACATACCTGTTTCTTGTATCTATCAATCTGTTCTTGAGCTGCTGGTAATATTTCTATACCATCAGCACCATATATCTCTTTGGCTATAGTCTCTATCTTCTCTTCAATAGATTTCTAAAGTGGGATATATAATAGTGAGTCCTTTAGATTTCTATTTAACATCTGATTCAATGTTCAAAATAAAAGACTTATATCACTTAGCAAGAGGCTCTCAAGAGCCTGAATCGCTCACCTGTATTTCAGAGGAGAAGATTTTTAAATGTTAGCAAACTTGATGAACAAATTGTGTAAAATTGTCTTTAAAGGGCAATAACTCCTTAAGGGGTCAATTGACAATTTTGGTCATATTAACTTTTTTGTAGATCTTACTTTGCTGAACATTATTGCTACTTACAGTTTATATATATCTATAATAATATTCAAAATAATAACAAATAAAATGCTCCGCAGGGCGCAGCTTGATACGACCGCAGAGGTCGAACCCTGAACAGTTGGGGGAAGTATGGACACAACATTCAAGCTTGATACAGCTTTGGATTTGGATTGTGATTAAATATTTGACACAGCATAGGTTTGTAACACAGATTGAATGTGGTCTAAGAACTTAAAAATTTTAAATTGGACATTCACCTATTATGGTCCAATATCCAAAATCTAAATACATGGTTAGATTCAGCATATCAAAGAACCCCAAGAATTCAATTTTTGATGAAATCAAACAAAGTTTAATTTTGGACCCTTTTGACCTCAATGTGGACAAAGTTGATAACAGGGCCCAAAAATCAAAAATCTAAAAACATGGTTAGATTCAGCATATCAAAGAACCCCATATATTCAATTTTTGTTGAAATCAAACAAAGTTTAATTTTGGACCCCGATTTGGACCAACTTGAAAACTGGGCCCATAATCAAAAATCTAAATACATGTTTAGATTCAGCATATCAAAGAACCCTAAGAATTCAATTTTTGTTAAAATCAAACTAAGTTTAATTTTGGACCCTTTGGACCTTAATGTAGACCAATTTGAAAACGGAACCAAAAATTAAGAATCTAATTACACGGTTAGATTCGGCATATCAAAGAACCCCAATAATTCAATTTTTGATGAAATCAAACAAAGTTTAATTTTGGACCCTTTTGACCTCAATGTGGACAAAGTTGATAACGGGGCCCAAAAATCAAAAATCTAAATACATGGTTAGATTCAGCATATCAAAGAACCCCATATATTCAATTTTTGTTGAAATCAAACAAAGTTTAATTTTGGACCCCGATTTGGACCAACTTGAAAACTGGGCCCATAATCAAAAATCTAAATACATGTTTAGATTCATCATATCAAAGAACCCTAAGAATTCAATTTTTGTTAAAATCAAACTAAGTTTAATTTTGGACCCTTTGGACCTTAATGTAGACCAATTTGAAAACGGAACCAAAAATTAAAGATCTAAATAAACGGTTAGATTCGGCATATCAAAGAACCCCAATAATTCAATTTTTGATGAAATCAAACAAAGTTTAATTTTGGACCCTTTTGACCTCAATGTGGACAAAGTTGATAACGGGGCCCAAAAATCAAAAATCTAAATACATGGTTAGATTCAGCATATCAAAGAACCCCATATATTCAATTTTTGTTGAAATCAAACAAAGTTTAATTTTGGACCCAGATTTGGACCAACTTGAAAACTGGGCCCATAATCAAAAATCTAAATACATGTTTAGATTCAGCATATCAAAGAACCCGAAGAATTCAATTTTTGTTAAAATCAAACTAAGTTTAATTTTGGACCCTTTGGACCTTAATGTAGACCAATTTGAAAACGGAACCAAAAATTAAGAATCTAAATACACGGTTAGATTCGGCATATCAAAGAACCCCAATAATTCAATTTTTGATGAAATCAAACAAAGTTTAATTTTGGACCCTTTTGACCTCAATGTGGACAAAGTTGATAACGGGGCCCAAAAATCAAAAATCTAAATACATGGTTAGATTTAGCATATCAAAGAACCCCATATATTCAATTTTTGTTGAAATCAAACAAAGTTTAATTTTGGACCCCGATTTGGACCAACTTGAAAACTGGGCCCATAATCAAAAATCTAAATAAATGTTTAGATTCAGCATATCAAAGAACCCTAAGAATTCAATTTTTGTTAAAATCAAACTAAGTTTAATTTTGGGCCCTTTGGACCTTAATGTAGACCAATTTGAAAACGGAACCAAAATTTAAGAATCTAAATACACAGTTAGATTCGGCATATCAAAGAACCCCAATAATTCAATTTTTGATGAAATCAAACAAAGTTTAATTTTGGACCCTTTGGACCTCAATGTGGACCAATTTAAAAACGGGGCCCAAAATCCAAAAACTAAATACACGGTTAGATTCAGCATATTAAAGAACCCCATGAAATCAAGAATAAAACCCCATTGAAATTGGTCAAGAAATAAGCAATTTATAGGAAGTATCTTCTTTGCACAATCCTGTGCTATTAAATATTTCTTGCTATTGCGCAATACTGTACAATTGACAATTTCTTGCTATTGCGCAATATTGTGCTATTGGATATTTCTTGCTATTGCGCAATACTGTGCAATTGAAGATTTCTTGCTATTGCGCAATACTGTGCAATTGAAGATTTCTTGCTATTGTGCAATACTGTGCAATTGAAAATTTCTTGCTATTGCACAATACTTATTATATAATAATTTACACATCCTGTTTGGTGTGTATCTCCTACCATATCATTATTATTTGATTTTAAATATAAATCAGAAATAACCAACTTAAAATGGAAAATTTTAAAAGAAACAAAAAAGGAAAAAAAGAAAAAAAAGGAAAAAAAAATAAATCCCCCCCCAAAATTTTTTGAACCCCCATTATGATTCATCACCCCCAAACTCAATCCCAGCCTTCCCTTTGTGGTATGGTGCCTTGCAGTACAATTTCAGAGAGATCCATACACTTGAACAAAAGTTATTGTCTGGAAACTAGAAAAAAATGTGTTTTTTGGCCCCTTTTTGGCCCCAAATTCCTAAACGTTTAGGGCAATTACCCCCAAACTCAAACCCAGCTTTCCCTTTGTGATATGGAACCTTGTAGTACAATTTCAGAAAGATCCATACACTTACACACAAGTTATTGTCATGAAACTAGAAAAATGCTTGTTTTTTGCCCCTTTTTTGGCCCCTAATTCCTAAAATTTGGAGGCAATTACCCCCAAAATCAATCCCAGCATTCCTTTAGTGATATGGAACCTTGTGGTACAATGTCAGAGAGATCCATACACTAACACACAAGTTATGTCTGGAAGTTACAAAAATGCTTATTTTTGGCCCCTTTTTGGCCCCTAATTCCTTTACTGTTATTACCATAACCCCCAAAATCAATCCCAACCTTCCTTTTGTGGTATTGAACCTTGTGGTAAAATTTCATAAAGATCCATTCACTTAAACTAAAGTTAGAGTGCGAAAACCAATGTGTCTTCGGACGACGCCAGACGACGCCGGACGACGACGACGACGACGACGACGACGCCAACGTCATACCAATATACGACCACAAAAATTTTTTTGCGGTCGTATAAAAACTGCAAAATTTTGTTAAAACTACCAATTCGGTAGCAGCAACCCAACAATGGGTTGTTCGATTCGTCTGAAAATTTCAGAGCTGATAGATCTTGACCAATTGAAAGCTTTAGTTTTTGAGATATAAGCCAATAAAATGCTTCGCTGGGGCGCAGCTTGATACGACCGCAGAGGTCGAACCCTGAACAGTTGGGGCAAGTATGGACACAACATTCAAGCTTGATACAGCTCTGAATTTGGATTGTTATTAAATATTTGACACAGCATAGGTTTCTGACACAGAAAGAATGTAGTCTAAGAACTTGAATTTTTTTAATTTACCTATTATGGTCCAATGTCCAAAATCAAAATACATGGTTAGATTCAGCATATCAAAGAACCCCATATATTCAATTTTTGTTAAAATCAAACAAAGTTTAATTTTGGACCCCAACTTGGACAAACTTGAAAACTGGGCCCATAATCAAAAATCTAAACACATGTTTAGATTCAGCATATCAAAGAACCCCAAGAATTCAATTTTTGCTAAAATCAAACTAAGTTTAATTTTGGACCCTTTGGACTTTAATGTACTGACCAATTTAAAAAACGGGACTTAAAATTAAAAATCTAAATACACGGTTAGATTTGGAATATCAAAGAACCCCAATAATTCAATTTTTGATAAAATCAAACAAAGTTTAATTTTGGACCCTTTTGACCTCAATATGAACCAATTTGATAGCGGGGCCCACAAATAAAAAATCTAAATTCATGGTTAGATTCAGCATATCAAAGAACCCCATATATTCAATTTTTGTTGAAATCCAAAAATGTTTAATTTTGGGCCCCAACTTGGACAAACTTGAAAAACTGGGCCCATAATCAAAAATCTAAACACATGTTTAGATTCAGCATATCAAAGAACCCCAAGAATTCAATTTTTGCTAAAATCAAACTAAGTTTAATTTTGGACCCTTTAAACCTCAATGAAGACCAATTTAAAAAACGGGACCCAAATTAAAAATCTAAAAACACGGTTAGATTTGGCATATCAAAGAACCCCAATAATTCAATTTTTGATGAAATCAAACAAAGTTTAATTTTGGACCCTTTTGACCTCAATATGAACCAATTTGATAGCGGGGCCCACAAATAAAAAATCTAAATACATGGTTAGATTCAGCAAATCAAAGAACCTCATATATTCAATTTTTGTTGAAATCAAATAAAGTTAATTTTGGACCCCAATTTGGACCAACTTGAAAACTGGGCCCATAATCAAATATCTAAATACATGTTTAGATTCAGCATATCAAAGAACCCCATATATTCAATTTTTGTTGAAATCAAACAAAGTTTAAATACTGGACCCTATCTTGGACAAACTTGAAAACTGGGCCCATAATCAAAAATCTAAACACATGTTTAGATTCAGCATATCAAAGAACCCCAAGAATTCAATTTTTGTTAAAATCAAACTAAGTTTAATTTTGGACCCTTTGGACCTTAATGTAGACCAATTTAAAAAACAGGACC